ATACCAAAATGAATCCTAATGTGATAGAAGAAATGTGATGTAAGGATTAACGTTATTGCTAAATACAGCAGCGACGCACACGGCTGGAAGGAAACGCGTGAAAATGCATAAAAAATATCTTCAACTTATCATTTTCCAGTCAGCAAGAACAAAAAGTCATACCCTCTACTGTTATTAATAATGCCTTTCTGCACATTTCTTACTGTAAATATGAACGGCTCCATTCTAAGAAGTGAAACTAAACACTGAACAAACAAAGCTCACTAATGAAGACGCCTACCGGAGTAAAATGAAATGAGCTGCTGGACTTTGGCTTCGCTCCAGAGGCAGCGGGAGTCGACGCTCAGCCTGCTGTCCGGCTGAACTGAGCCGAAGTTCAGAGATGAGGGATTCGAGCACGGTTTCGAGTCCGGCAGCGAACTGGACGGCGAGGCTGGAAGGGCGGAAGCTGCTATTTGTCCGGCTAGCTTCAGATTGTTCTCAGTCGAGGAGAGGAAGATCTGGTAGGCGGCGCTGGCGTTGGTTTTGGCGTCGCTCTGGCCGGAGGCGGCGCTGTTGGGCTTGTTGCTCTGGGCGGAGCTGGAGGAGAAGCCGCTCAGCGTGGAGGAGGGCGTCTGGTTCCCGAGGTCCGGATCTTTGTCCTCCTGCGACATCAGCATCTGCAGCTCGTCGGCGCCGTCGTCCTCGTCGCAGGACTCGCAGAGGAAGAGCAGCTGCTGGTAGTGTTTCCACTTGGACGCGTAGAGTTTGTCGGACGCCCTGCTGGTCTGGACCGCCTTGTACTCGCGGTTGAAAACCGTCCGCAGGTTCTTGAACTTGCACTTTATGTCTTCGACTGCAAAACAGGAACACGGGAGTCACTCTACACAAGCTCATGGTGCAAAATTCAGCAGCTTAGAGTCATTTCATCCACACAGGCAGACAATATCAGTTGAATGAAGTCGCTGTTTGCTCACATACAAGCGGACTGTTGTTCAGTTAGCCGTCACAACTCACTTAATGCAAAACCGATTTATCAATTATTTTGCTCAGTAACCCACCAAACCCCAAAATTCCCCCGCAGGTTTAAAAGGCATGTTATCTTATTGGAAAAAAAAGGAAAACTGTGAGAATTACAACATTCTTTAAAGCCAGAAACTGAAAAAACACAAGAGGGAATCGTTGGGTTTTCAACTTTCTGACAGTCCTTGAATGTACCGTGTGTGCTATTTTTTGTTTCCCTGACAAAATCCACCAAACTTTACTTTAACAGTGTGATATTTGATTAAAATCACTTTATTCTATACGTCTCACTTTTAAAAACTCGCCAAAAATATTGCTTCAAAAGTAACGTGACAAAAAGTAAGCGTGCTGCTCGAGACCGCATCGAGTTTTGAATTATATTTATTTTATCTGGAATCTGTCTTTTTAATGAAACCTGAACAGATAATTTTAAAAACATCAGACGTGATAATCGGCATGACCTCACTGTGACAACAAAACAGTAGGAGCTGCACACAGTCACTGAACCTGACTGTTATTTGTCACGAAACAATAATTTTTGGATTTATTTATTCAAAGCAATGAACTTAAACTCTCGAGGGACGATAACAACACCTGAATACACTGTAAATATGTGTGTATGTAAGCAAATATTGCCGTATTTTCCTTTTGCAGCTGCAGTAAGATCTGAACTCTGCCGGTGTTCCTGCCGACATGTTGAGCTGTAGCTGTCAGAGGAAGCAGGAAGTCGTGACGCTCACCTGAGAACGACACCGAGTGGTCGGACAGCTGGTTCCTCAGAGCCTCCAGCAGCCTCAGTCGCAGCTGACGGTTGTTGTGGTTTTCAGACTTCTTGTTCCACAGACAGCTGTGCTCTGTACACAACAACACACAACAACGCTTCCAGCTCATCGTCAGGTTTTGGCATGTTGTGATAAGTAATTATTTTAAGAGCAGTTCTTTGTTTTGCTTACCGGAGTAGAACGATATCAGCGCTCGCTCCCTCTCCTCGGTCCAGTAACACTTCACCAGGATGTTGGAGGGGATGCAGGAGGACGAGGTGGAGGCGGAGGAGGTGGAGGGCGAGGGGAGGAAGGAGATGATGAGCCCCGGGGAGGCGAGGACCGGCTGGTTCTCGTCCTCCGGAGCCGTCGTCGGTGAGAGCGGCGGGTCGTCGGCGGCGTCGTCTTGGTCCCAGCAGCCCTGCAGGAACATCAGCTGCTGGTAGTGTTTCCACTGCGGCACGAAAACGTCGTCCGAGCTGCAGCCTTTGCTCGCTTTGACCATCTTGTACTGACGCTGGAAGGTGGTGCGCAGGTTCTTGAACTTGTTCTTGATGTCTTCGACTGGGGAGAAAAACAAAACGACGTGACTTTTCTTCTTCTACAGAGGAAGAGACACATCAGAGCCAACGTGGTGCATTTTTAAACTTATATATTTGTCTTTAAAAAACAAACAAACAGATAAGTGGATGTGATGCAGTGACAACAAAACTTCAGAAAGCTGCACCTGTTGATGGAATAAACAAACAAGTAAACAACTTGCTTTAGAGGTGTTGTATGTTTGGAGTTTATGAGCAAATTATTTCCCACCAAAATGTTTTATTACTGCTTTAAACCAGTGCAGCTTTGGTCACGTTTCCTAGAACCCTTGGATGTTCTCAGTTCTTCTACAGGTTTCCACCATAAACAACTAAATTAAGTGCCACCAAGATTGTTTTAGACGCTTCCTCTTTACGGTTCTGGGTGTTTAATTGGAAGACGACCATTTTCTGCTGGTCATTCGTCTTCCACTGGAGGGAAAAACAGAACAGTGTTGGTTTCTCTGGCGCCAAGAACCCTTCGTTGTCCTCAGTTCCTCTACATGTTCGAATAAAGTTCCTTCAGGGTTGCTTTAGCCCCTAAAAAGTTGCGTCTGCCTGAAGGCTCTGGAACGTCACCTATTTCTATGTGCTGCTGGTCAAGTTTAACTGGACTTGCATTTTCAAACTGGCGTTTTTAAAAACCTGTGCTTGAACAGAACAACATGGACCTACAAAACAAACCAACAAAGTCCAGGACGTTTACTGCAGAGGAAGACATCCAGCGACCTGAAGGTTTCATTACAAAGGGCATCCTTGTTTTGTGCTGTTGTGCACAACAGTTACGTAGACAAAAAGCTGATTAATTTTCCGTATTTTCACAGAGCTTTAGCTCATGATGGACAACAGACAGCTTAAGGAACCTTCAGATCCTTGGAAAGTTCCCAGACATTAGTTCCTTGAATTGAAATTTGAATTATGGTGGAAATGCAGCTGTAGACGGAGCCGGATTTACCTGTGAAAGAAACAGGAGGCGGGTGAGCCGACAGGAGGATCCTCAGGTGCTCCAGGGTTTTCCATCGCAGCTGCCGGTTCTTGTAGTTCTCAGACTTGTGGTTCCACAGACAGCTGTGCTCTGAGAAACAACAACAAGATCCTGTCAAGTCTGCAATTTAAAAAACTCTTCTTGACTTTGAGCTGATAACAAGTATGTGAAGAAAATACAACAAGTTCTGCCTAAACAGAAACTACTACATCGAATGTAAAACTACAAGTTCAGGCAGCGTTTTTTCTCTTTTAGTTACAGCTTCAGCGTTTAGGTTTTTCTTTACATTACTTGTGACATTGCTGACAATCATTAATCTATAAATTATTTGATTTAGTCAGACATGTCACAACACCATAAAGGTTAAAAAAAAAAAAAGAGAAAATAAATTACAAAAAACGAAAAAAATGCACAAAACCTTAAAATAATGTCTGAAAACAAGCAGGATGAAGTTTAACTCATTAACTTCTACCCGCTACACGTCCATACGTCTGATAATTTCCTGTTTCCTGATTGCTTCAAACTTTATACTTATAGACATGTTAAGAAACCCAAAGAACACCTTAACTTTTCCACTTTATGTTTTTCACGCAGTCGCGTCTTGTAAAGTTGTACGAACACACAATTTACACACAACCAGGGATGCCACTGCCACAATCTACTCATAGTACTGGAGTTGCATCCATTAACTACTATTTTTCTTGCAGGACCTTTTGGAGGAACCATTCTTCTACGTCTGTTGTTTCCATACAGATTTATTTTAAGAGCACAACCGCGTCCCATTCAACCAAGTAGTTCTGACCAACCAGAACATGTTCACGCTGACTTCATGTTGTTGCTGACTGTGTAGATGTTTTATTATTTATATTGTGTCGGATTAATCTGTGGATGAAGCTGAAGTTCTTGTACAGACGACTGCACGGATGAAACAGACATCAAAGAACTTGGCAAAAGAAACAAAAAAAGACTTGACAGACACAACGTGACGTCTCCAACAAGAACATTTATGACGTTAGAGTGTCTGTGAAGATTCTCATCCAGGTCGTGGTTGTTCTCGGAGATTAATCGTAGCAACTGGACTTGCTTGAGTTCCTTGAAGACGTTTCATCCAAGAGGCTTCATCAGTTCTGACTGACTAGTTGGGAGTTCCAGATATCCGTAAGGAGCCATTAACACCTGAACTCTTTGGCTCCTTACGGATAGAAGTATCTGGAACTCCCAACTAGTCAGTCAGAACTGATGAAGCCTCTTGGATGAAACGTCTTCAAGGAACTCAAGCAAGTCCAGCTGCTACGATTAAACTACGAGAATGACATTAGAGTCTTACTTGTACTTATCTTGGGTAATTAAATTGCGATTACCATCTGAACTTTACCAACTATTTACAAAAGCACAACTTCTGCAACTTCTCCAGGTTTCTAATCAATTTGTAGCTACATAAAAAAACACATTACAAGAAGCTAATATATATATATATATAGGGGTTCTTGTGTACTTCTACATGGCAGTATTGCACAAATATTTGGCCGACAGGGATTTGGCAAAATTAAAAATAAAAAAAATGAAAATGGCATAGGCAATGGTCCCAGCCTGGCAACCGATATCACAAATCTTGTCCGACATCGTGCACAGGAACGTGTGCAATGTAATTTATGCACAAGCACATCCTACGCCGGTACTCCACGTGTTACCTGAGCAGGTGTTGACGCTGTTACTCGACAGCGGTGGTTGTTTTGCTTCCTGGCCATCATTAGGATTGTTTGGCTTTCTTTGGTCACCGTGTTAACGATGCAAATTAGGAGAAATTTGCATTGTTACACAAGCGAAGCGGACAGTACCGACGTTAAAGAAATATCATTAATAAATGAGGGAAATAAACCAAAAATATACAGAGGTAGTAATTCAGATTCTCTAACAATATTGTACGGATTCTGTTATGAGTAGAAATACTGATAAAAGTATTAATATTGCACAGAATTGTCCATAAGTAGAAAATTGCACAGACTATATGTAGAAGACTGACATTGCACAGGGTCTTTAAATATTATTCACTGCTTTGCTTTATAAGGACCTTCCTGTGTGGAACAGCCTTTAAATAATCATATAATAATATATGTTAACTAAAAAGATAAGTGAAATTTAACTACTCCTAATAAATACAGGCAACTTTAAATAGTGTGAAGCAGCTATTTACCTCCAACTTCAGCACATGAACACTGTTGTCATGTTCAAATTTAGCTAACATTAGGCACAAAACAGCAACAAAAATGTTTAAAAAACTAAATATATTTATCCATTTCCAAATCAAACAAAATATTAAATTACTGGGGAATGTTTTTTGTGATATTTATACTCAAAACTGCCCGTGAAAAAGTTTCCAGAACATCGACAGAAGCCGTGTTTAGGAGGAAACTAGCTAACTTGACTCCAGTTGCTCGTCGCCATTGCTGCCGTTTCTCGCCATCGCTCATTGCTAGCGGTCCAAGCAACGGTTGCCCGGAAAAATGTTGCAGCTTCCGGGAGAGCGTCGACGAAAACGGCAACCTTTCGTGGCGAGCTGAACGAACGGCGTGAAAAAGTTTCCGCCGCCGGCCGCTTGACTTACTGGAGAAAAAGGCAATGAGCGCCCTCTCTTTCTCCTCCGTCCAGTAGCGCTCCGGAGTGAAGCCGAACGGGGCCGCCTCCATGTTTGTTGTTGCCGTTCCGTCCTCCTTCTACTCGGCTGCGCGGTCACATGACCCGGAACACGAGCTGTGATTGGACGATTCCGCCACATCCCGGAACAACGACGCGCATTGCCCGGTAGAGGTCGCTGCCTGTTGGCGTTCATTTTCCTCAATTATTTTTTTAATTTTTAATGATTAATTTTAAGATAAATTTAACACATTTCAGCTTAACAATTGAAATTAAAATTAAATAATAATAATAAAGCTAAAATGAAAATATATACAGTTATACAGGCTTTGACATCAGGAATAGCAGCTAAAGAAGCACCTTTAGCAGCAGTTCTGGAGCTTTTGATCATTTCAAAAAGGTACTTTTAATCTTGAGGCAAATCTAGAAGGAGAATCCTTAATGTGATCAGGAAAAAAAACAACTGTGTGCAATATTTCAATCTCATTGCTTTTTATTTTTCTGTTCCAGTCTTCTTTTATTTTTTTAGTCATGTATCGTACTGACATCTTGTTGTTTTTCTGCTGGGAACTGCATTTATGACGCTTTATTTAACCCACAGTGGGGAACGTTGCATTGTTACACCAACAAAGGGGGTCGTGCCAACATTTAAGCAGGAAAATAATTTCTTGCGTTGTGTAGTTTTGTTTTTTCTGAGCAATATTGGGCAAAAAAAGTTTTATTTTATCTTCAAATTAAAATGTGATGTAGGGAAAGTGGGCTACTGTAGCTGCTGAGAAAGACCATGTGACAGAATAGAAAGGTCCAAAATCAAAACACCAAATGTATAATGTAATATCCATCCATCCATTATCTATACACCGCTTAATCCTCACTAAGGTTGTAGAGGGCTGGAGTCTATCCCAGCTGACTCAGGGCGAAGGCAGGGATACTATAATATGGATTAATAAAATATTTAAACCATGTTGAGTAATAGTTCTTGTTGAGTTAAATTATATGTGATTATTCTGTCCAATTTGATACTCAGAACAGCTCTAACTGGACTGAAAAGAAAACCAAATAGACTGAATTTCTAACAGAAGCAGCTGAAACTTGCTCCAGAAAGCAGCAGCGGTGGACTCAGGTGAAAATCCCTCGTCACCGCCTCGAGCAGCCGACAGCATGGAGAGGACGAGCCAGCTAATGTATTCAGATCTCCTTTTGGAGCACAGTTACATAAACGCCACTACAGATGCCACGTTTTTCAACAGCAAAACTTTGAGGCCCGCTCGATTCTTATCCATCTCGCAGCACCATCTGCGAAGCATCTGATCGGACCCCAAATTTATTCTGCTGCACAACCTCCGGCCAGATTCACAAGAAACTATCTGCAGCCACAAGAAGAACAAGAAGTCCTGCAGCAGATGGCGTGTTCCTCGCAGAAACACGGACTGAGCCGTTACATAAAGAAACAAAAAGCAGTGTTTTAAATGAGGGGTAAATGTACGGTAACACATTTTTAGCAACCAGGTGGAACGTAAAAGAAAAGAAAAGCATTGTGCAGATGTCAAGTGTTGTTGTACTGCTTTAATTTCCAACAATTGGCTGGTACACGTCCAGACGAGACAACAGACAACGTGTATTTACAGTGAACCCCACGTACATCGCTGTTCTTCACATGTACAGACATCCAATCCATGTACAGGTATTTACACCGTCGAGTCAGTTTCACAACCAACCGAGCAGCCGAGAAGGAAAACGCGCACACACACTAATACCCTCCTCATGATCAAGGTTCAGGGAGTATCTGCTACAAAAAAACTGGAATATTTTAGTTATTAAAAGATAGAAGGAATTGCTAAAAAATGCACATCTGTTTAGGACAAAAAGCAGTTAAATTTTAATTCAGCACCACCAAATTTCATTAAAAAAAAGAGGAGGAAGGGATTAGATTTGTTCTTGTTTGGTGTAAATATGTTAAAAATGTGAGCAAACACAGAATAAGACTAATTACAAGGATACTAGTGTGCATGTAAGTGTACTCAGGTGTAAGTAACAGAAGACGGGGGGAGATTTTGTTAATCCGATTGAACATAAAAAAAAAAAAAGGAGTGTTTAGCTGCACACGAGGACTTGAACGCCTCAAACCAGGCCGCGCCCACATCACGGAGCTACATGAAACCTTTAAATCAACCACGACGAACAGGCCAATCTCACACTTCACTTACATTATATACAAACCATAATATCATTCACATGTACATTTTACATTTTAAGGTCATAAAGCAAATAAGTATGTACACTCTGCGCCAGCGTATGCTCTAAATCTTCTCTAAAGCTCTCGTAAAATATCTCTCTGGTGCTTCAAGTATAAGTTAATTCACAGGAATATCGCTGCTGTCAGGGGAAACACCTCACGCCAGCGATATTTTTCTTGTAAAAACTAAACTTGCAAGACGGTATACTGCAGCCCGGGCCGAAGCTGGGCGATCGGGAGCCACAAGTGTTGTTCATTTTGGAATATTTTTCAATTAAAAAAAAATTATCTGAGCGCACCGACGGCGAGCCAGAGTTGCAGCTGTGAGGATTTCCCGCTGCCAGCAGCCAGCAGCACTTTCATAAAGTGACTTTGATATAAAAATAAAACACGTAAGTGACGGTAGATAAGTAAATCCAGGTTGATTGTGATTTTTAAAAAAACACTATGATCTGAGGTAGAGTGACACTTGGGGACACTGACTGGTAAAATAAAATAAAAACAAAAAAAACACTGAGGTTCTGTTATTCTGCTTGATTTTGGTATTAGTGTCTCATAGATTCAGAGTTGTTGTTTTTTTTGGACCGTGTTCCTCATTCTTGGTCTGATTTGAGATTTAAAAAGAAAAAAAGTTGGACTTCAGGTGGTTGACTCGTCTCTCAGCTCCACACATTCATTCACTGTTAGCATCAATAGCTCTTAGCAAGATACTGTACACTTGAAAAGAATAAAAATCCCCAAAAGAGAGAGAGAAAAAAAACTGTAACTAAAAAAATTATTAAACAACAACACCAACGAAAACAAAACAAAACAAAAAAAAAGAGTATAAATCAACACTGATGTTTTGGCTGCCTTAAATATGTTGCAGACACGTTTCCTTTGTACAGTAATCAAATAAAACACAGCATCGAAATACAGCCTCGAAATGATACAGCTAAAAGGTAAAAACACCTTTTTTCTTGTTTATCACAAAAACAATCCACGACTTCAAGCTTAAAGATGAACGAAAATCCTTCTGTGAAAACCTCAGACAGACTTCTTTTTACTTCGGTGTGATTTTTAAACCCTGCCATTTAAAAAACAAAACGTAGTTGGTCCCGCTTCTCGGTGGTTTTCCTTAAATCGGTGGCGTCCATGTTGGCTCCACCTCCGTCCTCGTCAGGTAAATAATCACCTCGGACTCTTCTGTCCAGTAACGTGATGGCAGCTAGTCGGCAGCTCCTCGCTTCCTCATAAAAGAAGCATCCTTATTGGTCACAAGATGGTACACGTCTGCTCCCCGTCGGTGTTGTTAGTTCCAGCGCCCGGCGACGCAACTGGAGCTCACGCTGTCAATCTTCTGACAATAAAAGTACACTTAGTCCTGCCGCGAGGCGAAGAAAACGTGTTCTGTTAAAAAACGTCAGTCGATCGGAGGACAACGGGCCCGTCAAACGATACTGTCCTGCAGCAGCGGCTCGAAGTCCTCGTCGCTGGCGGCCGGCGGGCTTTCCTCGTCGCTGCCCGGGAGCGGCGTGTTGATGTGGACGCCGGCCAGCGAGGACATGGACTCCTTGCTGTCCGGGTGGGGCTTGTCGCTGAGGGACAGCTGGGAGGAGGAGGACGAGCAGGATGGCTTCTCGGGGATGAAGAGGGCGACGAGGAAGGCGATCACCACGGTGCAGGCTCCCAGCAGGAAGGGAGGACCGGGGATGAGAGCGTGCTGATGGGGGGGAAGGAGAAGAACATCGTTTAGTTGCTTTGCTGAAGGACACAACATGTCAGAGACGTCCAGAAATGTTTCATAGCAGCGGAAAGATTGGCTCAGTGGAAATCTTGAGGTGTCACATCGAAACCAGAAGTTGAGTTTCCGTCATTCTACGTTATTGTCGTATTCGGTCGAGTTGAGACCGATGCCAGTATGAGAGTTTACAGTTAATATTACGAATGTGCACAGACTAATACTGGTAGCTGTTGGCTATTTGAGTGGCCGCTGTTCAAAACAGCTTTAAGAGGAAAGAAGCTGCAGTTTATTTGAGGGAAAAAAAAACTATATCTACCGACATAAACTTAGGACATCTTAAGACATACTCATACATTATAGACACATCCGGAGTTTATTTATGGTTTCAATGCTGAAAATTCTGCTTATGCTTGATTATAATTCATCATCTTATCTTGTAAAATCCCTCGAAAATTACTAATTTACACGTTGGCGGGGAAAAAAACAGCCAAAATGTGTGCATCAAATATCCCCATTTGCACAAATAGTCATTTTACATGCGTGACAGCAACATTTACTGTATTTAAATCTACAAATTGTTTCACAGATGTTTACATATTTAGTTATTCCACTGGGTTTTAACATGTTTTGTCAGGATCCCTATCCCTGGATTTTACAGCGTACAATGTTAAACGCACCAGAGCTGCAGTTTTCCATCTTATTAAACAGCAGCATGCGGTCTTAGCCATTTATTTATCTTTAATCTGGTAAATTTTTGATGTTAATTAGCAAAATAATCATTAACATCCCCAATTCAGATGAAGCCATGAGGTGCCGTCATGAAACCAACAAATAAAAGACGCTGATAGTTTTTATCTACACAGAGAACAGGATGCAATTAACAGAAAACTACGCAATTTAATCTCAGAGGGACGTTGCTGTTGATTTCTAACACTGTAATAAAGATGAGCATGAATCCACAGAGGGCTGTGAGATCACAACTCCACGTTAAAGTCGATCTGAGAAACAAATATCCTGCCGTGACTCAACCCCTCCCCGGTGGTCTGGTGCTATTTTCTAAACTCTGTGAGTGAATGACGTTAATCTGAGAGGATGCCGGACCTCAGTGGGACTGTGCAGAGGCAGCGGGTCGATGTTGTAGTCTCCCTGGATGGGGTCCATGGTGTTGAGCTCGACGTTGAAGAGGAAGAAGATGAATCCGTACAGAGCCGGACCCAGACCGTTGCACAGACCTCTGATCCCTGTGATCATCCCCTGGACCACACCTGCAGGACGAGGACACAGGTGAGACTGTTGAAGACGCAGTGAGATACTCGACCTGCAGCACGTCTATTTCTGTGCCCGGTTGAGTAACACACACAAAGAAATCAATACCAGCACACTGACCGATTGATCTGAGGAGAAAAAGATACAGAAGGAGAGAACAAGAGCAACCCGGTCTCCACGAAGTTACAATCACACACGACTTATAGGTAAATGCAATTAGTGGCCTGCGATGTGGCCGGTTTGAATAAACTAGACTTTGGCTCAGAAGACCAGAGTTCACATCCTGGGATGGACGAGAGATCATCGGTCTCACAATAAATAAGATTGTTTGACACTTTTAGAATGCTAGAGGCTTGGTTAAGGTGGAAGAGGACAATATAAGTACGAAACACTAAGAATGCAGTTCAGTTGCATAGGAAGGTGATTTTTGTGGAGACTGGGTTGACCGGAGAGGACGGAGAAAACATCCTCTGTCACCTTGTTTATCAGGATCAGCAGACTGTGACACCAGAGCAGAGACTGCCGGGAAGGTGATGGAGGACATCGCAGCTACAGCACCAGCCGCCCACATCATCCTGTTCAAAACACACATAAACACGTACCGTTAAAGGTGTACGTGTCGGAAATATGTTTGCAAAAGACAAGCCTATGCCTGCTTCCAGTCACTACTATTACTAGAAGGTGGTTCATGCAGATAAACAGCTGCTCCTGTTTTACCGATTACGAGTAAAAGGACGCAACAACATAATGTAAATAAAAAAAACAAAAGAAAAATTGGCAGTCAAACTTTAGATGGAGGTCACAGTTTCCTCACCATGGCTCTGATCCGAAGCCGTACCAGGCCAGCTGAAGGATCTGGAAGCCCAAACCCAACAGAACTGTGTTTTTATTACCCAGAGTTCTCATCAGCAGAGTGAGGAAGAGAGTCTGAGGAAAAAGAAGAGGAGATATTAACAGGGTCATTTCTATGTAATTCATTGTATTGCAATGAGCTTTAAAAGCAAGAGTCGTGTCCATTTACACTTTTTATTTAAACTATTTTCAGTATATTGTGATAGTAAATCATGTGTTTGGGCTCCGTCGTCACAGTTGCTCGCTTTCAGGCCTAATATTTATCGTTTCTGGCAGTTTGCTATAAACACAGAGGAATAACTTGGTTAGTTACCTGTGCTACGATAGACAGAATGCCCACCACGCCTATAAACACAGCGATGGTTGTGGAGGAGAAGTTTATGACCTGTAAAAGAAAGACAGAAGGGATTATTGTATCATTGTCGTTACTTTCTATGACAACACAACATCGTTTAATGTGTGATATCTGACCAAATGCATAGTTATCTGCAGTTATCTGTATTGATTAAACAATAACTGTGAGCATAGATAAGAGTAGAAATAAGATGGTATCGTCGGCGTAAAAATGAACATCTCAATGGTCAGTTGGAAAATCTGTGGCTTATGTTATATTGCATTATGAATATTTTGCATGTTTAACAAACTCTGCATGATACCAGTTTATCTACATATACAAGAATCTATGGATTTTTCTGCTTGTGGAGGAATCTGTGCAACACCGTTGTTTAGACATGTGCAATATTGTTATTTTACACATCCAGAGGAATCTGTGCATTACCTGAATTTCCACATATAGAAAGATCAGTACTCCTTTTCTTTTTCTTTTTTTTTTTATTAACCTTATCGTAACGTATATATCTGGTAAATAGCAGGGGACCTAATATCGATCTTTGTGGGAAACTTTTATCAGCCCCACCAGTGAAATCTGAACCAGCAAGCAGCAAGTATTGCAATATGAGGAGGTCTAAATTGATTGTTTTAGCAAAAGAATGTGATTTGACCAGCTGACCGGCAATTGTAGGATTTTGAACAGCACAGATAGGCTAATAGTTGTTTACATAGTTGAGCTATTTCCATATTGGGGGGATTTTGACAGTTGAATTGTTGAATTAAAACCTGCATACAAAGTTCCACTGAAGACATCAGTGCATTGTATGTCCATTACATCAGACGACATCTACAATACGTTGGTCCAAGCGCTCATAGTTTGCCATCTTTCATCGGATGTATTCAGGGAAACAGGTGGTATCGACTCACTTCTAGAAAAAGTACTGCTGTCTGAGTGATGCGTATGATACTGGCTGTCTTGTGTTTGTGGCCAGAAATAAACTGTGGAATCATCCATGGCTCGCATCAGCACAGTGTGGGTTGTCTGTCTTCAGACTATTTTTGGCTTTGTCATGTTTACAGTTGTGGGCAGTAGACTGCTCTGTGCTACCCAGAAGCCAGCTCTGACAAAAACTGCAGTTCCTCAGATGGCCACCTGAAGCTCGCTCCAAAAGTGAGTCACCCCCCACAGACCTCCATGTTAACATGACCAACTTTACAGAAGAATAAACATGTTTAATGCCTGATACAAAAAAATGGTTTTGGTCTCTGTAGCTAATGCCCCTGTTCGTGACAGCCATACTGGAGGTGAAGTTTTATATTACTAACTCCACTTCGATTGTAATAAGGTTTAAAGTTATGCCTAATTAAGGCTGCTTTCAGTGGCAGGTGGGTGCCGACACAGGACAGTGGCTCGCCTCAGCTCCACTCGTGTTCCTCTTTGCTTGTTTTTGAGGCAGTCAGCGTCTGCCAAGATTACGTAGTCAATAGCCACCATACTGAGCTTTAAAACTGCACTTATGGATAACATCGAGGAGAATTCATCCATCTTTAGGTGCAGTAGTGCTTCTACTAGTCAACATCCCTGAACACGCTGTGGGAGTTTCTATATGAAGTAAGAGGAAAATAAAGTTTTGTTGTCGGGACGTCATTGGGCTTTAAAAAGTCACCCTCCACTATGATACATGAGCCATTTTTGCTCTGGATACTTTGCATCTTAATTGTGATGCCCAACTTACCCAATTATGAATAAACAAAAAGATATATTACTAACATACGAAAGAAAATGCATTGTCCATTAGCTGTAGTACCTGGCTGCTCCACCAGGTGGAGCCTCTATCTCTTGACTGAGATGGAAGACTGAGGTTTGATTGTGTTCAACACGACAGCGACTAGCAGTTTTGTGTTGGCAAACAGAGATCAAGTCGGGGTTTAAGCTAGCAATGGGGACCATGACAAAGACTTCTGTGGTGCTTAATGACTTCAGACCAGAGCTTCTGATGATCACTTAAATACTGATTGATGGCAGTGTGTCTCACCTGTCGCAGGTAGAGGAAGAAGCTGGAGTACTGTCCGGCCTCAGGCAGGTACGACAGGAACACGGTGATGCAGATCAGTAAGACTGTGGAGTCCTGACCAACCTTCCTCAGAGACTGTAGGACAAAGAGAAAAGAAATACGACACAGGACGATCAGTTAGCCTTCGATTAACACCTGGGACAAAGCGTGAACGTCACAGTCGGTGAAGCACAGCTGACTCCTATCCACTGTCTCAGGCGCTTACATAACTGTACTCCTATAGCGTTGTTAAATTATTAAATTGATGTTACTGCACTTGAGGAACACTGAGGTCTCCACTCTACATACTGTGTCCAAAAACAGAGAAGAAAATCAAATAAAAGACTTCCTGCAACTAGAAAAGAAAACATAATAGTCAGCTTGTGTAAATTATGGGTTACTGACAGCAAAGGGGTCGGCCTGCTCCCAGGATATCGGCGCCCCCCAGGTGTTGAGCCTCATCTTGTCCGGCAGCGACTCGGGAACAGCCAGCAGGATGAAGCAGATGTCGGCCAGAGCGATCAGCGTGGCCACCAGAACCACCAGGTTGTCTCCGTACCAAGCCGACAGGTAGGCGCCGATGGCCGGACTCGTCACCAGGCTGGCCGCGAAGGTGGCCGAAACCTGGAGGACGGAACGGATGAATGTCAGAAGGTGGAAAACACAGTATATGAAGAATTTTGATTCCCCAGGCTTTACATCATATCTGATAAAGCGCAGAAAGCTGGAACATCTGATCTCCTGCAGTGTCGGCGTGGAGGTTTTTCTAAAGGAAGCACAGCTGTTTTTGGAAAGAAACGCACATATGAGGGTTTACTGTCCAGATATTTTCCCATTCTGATCCGATGTCTGTGCTCTAATTAAGCTGAACTGTCACTTTCTTTTATTCTAAGGTTGCAGATTCATTGTCAGCCATTTAACTCCACCATCCACTCATCTGTCTGTCTGACAGCATGACTTCATCCAGTGTTTAATCTATTTAATGTTAAACACTAATGTTGGTCATTACAAGTTCTAGCAGTACATGCTCTGTCTTGGCTTCATTGGGTTTTTCTCGTCAAAACACCAGATCTTCCATCATGATACAACAGTTCTTGCAGATTTTTTTCATATTTACATCAATAAAAACAGCTGTGGACAGAAGAGTTGTTTTTGCTCCCAAGTGACAAACTTCAGGCTGAAATATGAAGTGCAAAAAATATGCAGTTTCTCAAATGTCCACTAGAGGCTGACTCCAAAACCGAGTCAATCCCCATTGACCTCAGTGTGAAAATGTCCAACTTTACAGCAGAAATAAACATAAACAACCAGGTAGAAACGACTTGGTTTTGGTCTCCATAGCTAGTATGTTAGGTCATGATTACTGTGCGAGGAGTAGATTTTTACAAAACTGATCTGTTTAAATTGTGATAAGGCTTAAAGTTATGCATAATTAAGTGTGAGGCCACTTTAAATGACGGATGGATGCTGCAATAAAACAGTCCATAACCCAAAATCCAGGGCTAAAAAAAGAAAAAGTGCTAGAAACTGCAGTTCCTCAGATGTCCACTTGCCTCATAGACCTGTATTTTAAAATGTCCAACTTTACAGCAGAATGAACTCGTTTACAGCCTGGTTCAAAAAACTGTTTTGGTCTCCGTAGCGAACGTCTTGTTGATGACAACCACAAAGGAGGTCGACGTTTATGTAACTCATCTGTTTAAAGTTCTGTATAATTAATCCGAGGCTGAGTTAATTGTCTTGACGACATGCACGTTGAATTTAGGAACAACACGTCAAGCAGGAGCTCTTACCAGACCGTACGCTGTACTCCTCTCCCTTTCGTCCGTCACATCGGCGACGTAGGCGAAGATGACCGAGAAGGTGACGGAAAAAGCTCCGGACATGGAGATCATGGCGAAGTACCACCTGCAGGACGAGCAGGAGAGATAAATTAGCTTCAGCTCCGGTTTCCTCCAACCGTCCTGTGAACGACTAAAAGTCTTCTCAAGCGGAGGATTCGTGGAAAGATCCATCACTTGGGTGGGGTTTGATCCAGCGATATACAACCACACAATCTCAAACAGCAGAAAAACATGTAGAAAGCTTGATATAAATACAATAAATATGAAGAAATTATCATAGGAGCCTTCAGCGTTTTTAGGGAAATATTTCCAGAATAGTCTGAGCTATCCACATCTTCCAACATATAATACCTGCAGGTTTTTTATGCTCGCCTAGTATTATGAAATTGTTGTGTTTTTACATGTATTTTACCATAAAATGCAGCAGAAATATCTTTTCATAACTGGGAAATTGTTGGTGGGAAACTGTAGGACTGCAGGGAAAATGTGCCAAATGGAAATAACTTGTCATTATTTTATTTACTGTGTTAAAACCAGGCAGATGTTTGATCTGTCAGTATGTAAGAAAAGACGTAACCAGCACAACTACAAAGCTCCGGTTTCACTCTGACTTGTAATAATATATTAATATGATGATGGGTTCAGGCTTGATTCAAACAAATTAGTTTTAAATTCAAGATTAGTCTTTCCTGTAGACACTTAAGTGAACAGACAAGCAGCTGGCTGGTTGGAAAAGGTCAAGGTGTGCAGTTTTTTGTGTGCGCTACAATAAATACAGTTCAACCGAGAAAGTGCTCAGAAAGGGTTTTAACTCCTCAACTTCTAAAAAGAGAACTTGTTCCTACCAGGGGCTGAGCCTCATCAGAGGAATCGGAGCGCAGGTGAAGAAGACGGTGACCAACAGGAAGGACCGCCGGCCCCAGACGTCCGACAACGCACCAATCAGAGGAGCCGACATGAAGGACAGCAGACCCTGGACAGGAAGAGGCGGAGTCAGGGACAAACAGAGCATATATATTTATATTCTTAACTATATCTACAAATGACCCTGATTATGTTGTAGTGACATAACAGGGGAAAGGATCCAGTGTTTCTGAAGATCTTCAAAATCATTTTGAATCCCTCATTTCATGGAGTTACAATCATAAATAACTGGTTAAATCTGTTAATGTCCACAGTACAAGTCGGACACTTGATCAGCGGAGGTTCTTACCTTCACTCCCTGAATGAGTCCATTCATCAGGAACGTGTGCTGGGGAAACGTTTCATGTAAAACCTGCAAGAAAATGAAAGCAAACATGAATCAAACCCTCACTTAAGAAGTATAAGGAGTCTAACTATATATCTTGCACAACGTGAACTAAGCAGCCAAAAAAAACAAAAAAACAAATGTCTCTCAGTCCACAGACTAAAAGTTATTTATCTGTTCAACAAGACAGAAACTAGGGCTGAACAACTGAATTTTAAACAATTCAATTAGCAAATTAGCAAAGGTCCCAGTGTAGGATAGATGTTAGGACGCAGGCTTCTAATATATCTCATGTGCTAATGTGGCTCCTTTGCATGTTTCAAACTTATTACACTGAAAATTAAACTGAAACTTGACTTCAAAAAAAGTTTAATTACAAAAATCAAATTGCAATATTGGTCACACGTTTTTCCAAATCGTTCCGCCTTAATTCAAACCACCTGTTTTGTTCCACGAGATCCAAATTGTTCATTTTCCTCTTTAACATACACAATATTTTTGCAAAAAATAAATTTAAAAAAGCAGCAACATACACATTACGTAACTGTAAATCTCTCCAGTCACATTCAAAAGACAATATTCTTTTATTAAATCTAGTCTTATAAAGTTAAGCCACATTTCTACAAGTCCATGAAGAGCAACTTAACTTCAACAACACTTTCCATCTTTGTTTTAATCAGTTTTATGACATTTCATTTCAAATCACAATTCCAAATTCCCCTTTTTAACATTAGAGCAGCAATAGAGATGTTTTATTGTCTAAAGAACAGAGTTACTGGAGGTTTTCTAGTCAAAGGAAATCACCTGGTGTTGTAATGAACTCTAGAGACCAGAACCAGAATCTGTCACAATGAAAAAATGACTTTTGTCTGAAAACAATAAACAAAACGATGGTTTAAATCAAGAAATATTAATTCAAACTCAAAGTCGGTTTCATCGGCAAGTAGGTTTTCACACACAACGCCGTTAAAGTGGTGATTTGGTGCATCACGGTAAATGGTGACGACTGGAGAAGGTTTAAACAGGTATGGTTCAATCAGGTGACAGCAAGTGTGGCAAATCCAGGGAATTTAAAGTGATTAAAAAAAGCTAAACAAACATTTACAGTGTGCAGGAATGTTCAGATCAGCGTAGAATTTGCTGCAAACAACTTGAGCTGTGCAAAAAGCTGTAAGTTAATGTAACACGTTGGGTCTGATAATAGACTTAAGTCACTTTTATTGGTTCATGTTCATGTTCAGACTGACTTCTCTTATAAAGCTGAGTTGGAGATAAGAGCTGACACTAAACGCTGCTGCGTATTCAGCTGGAGTGACGTTACAGATCTCGTCATCTTTCCTCCACGTTGGGATATTCTGCGCTAGAACAGTCGCGGCGCTACTCACGGTTAGCATGGGCGTGGTGAGCAGACCCCAGGCGAAGAACTCCAGGAAGATCACCACCACTGCGTGGTAAACGCTGGGCCTGCCGATCCCCTGCTGGAGCTGGAGGAGCAAAGAAAACACACATTTTACAATCACAGTCATGACGGGACGATTGAAGGTTGAAGGGAAACTCCGTCAGATTCACACACGAGGAATCAATTCATCAAAAACCTGACTGACGCCATCAACTTGGTCTGTGTTTGGACTTAGAAACTACACTTTCTAAAGCTGGATTTTAATATGTGATGAATAATAAATATTAAACAACCATTAAATAAACACGTATTGACGTGTAATATGCATGTAGGTACAACAACTCGGTTTTATTTTGGGTAAAACCAACACTAGAACGTCCTATTTAGCTCTTTTTAAAGCAATTTTTGGCCAAACTTTATCTGAGAGCTGCTGCAGGAACCGAGTGGAGACCAGAAGCTTCCACGTGCACAGCTACAACCTGCCTGCGAGGCGTTTAAGGACCACCTGTAAACTGTAATGTCTATTGATAAACAGATGTGAGGAGTTTTGGGTTCAGTTCGTTTATATTCTGCACAGAGTTCGACCTCATGTTGAGTTTTATTTTGATGCAAAGACTTGTATGTAAAGTGAAAGCAGCCCTTCCTGGTTACTGGAAGTTACCGTTGTGTTTGCCAACATTGGGTAACCTCAAAGTGTAATTGTACTTTTTGTTGTCAGGAGGCATGAAAAGCCAAATATAGTCATCGCTGCTAAGGCTCAAACCAACTCAGACTCTATCCAAGACTACACAAATGCAAAAAGTAATGTAATGATTGAATTTATTTCGTTGTGTTCCCGATGAAACAAACTCATTTTCTGACACCGTTGAGTTTCGGCTGATTAAATCACAGCGAGTATTAAAACTGGAGCGCCCAACATGCCCGACTACCAGCCTACTGACACAGATACACAGGATTTATGTGGCGAAATGGACCATTTTCTATCTTTAGTTTGACTAACAGCAGGTTCCACTAACACAGATTTAGACTACTTAGATAATGAGTTACTCTTTGCCGCTCTTCCGCGCCATTAATTTCCACATCGGCGGCGGCAGCGGTATTAAGGGAACATCATTACAGGGGCTCGGATTTACTTCACCTTTGATACTTGACACGGTTTCGTTTTTTCTTGATTAACATCATTCAGAATGAAGTGTCTCCTCCTACAAGCCCAAAAGGAACAAGAACAGCAAGTGATGGATTCTTTATTGTTTGGTCGACTGTGGTCATGATTGGTGGTAAACTTAAGAGTCAACAGGCAGGATTTGAGTTATTAACATCGATTAATTTAGCACGTAAACTCCTCCAGGCTGGTTTTTGTCATGTTCATTGGGAAAATAAACCCTGACTTCAGTCAATAAACGCTTCGGAAGTCAAAATGAACAAACCCGGGATTTATGGATCAGAGACTCTTGGGAGGATTTTACAATACAACAAGCCTCTGTGTTTCTATCACCAGGTCGTAGTAGGATCTGAAAAAAAGGGACATCTTTTACTTCTACCGAACCTAAACTGTCCATTACAGTTTGGTTTCAACAGATTATCTTTAGTCACTCGGTGGTTTTAATGATGGATAAATGTTAAAAGGTTCTCTTTGTTTGGTTCGACATGTAAACAATTAAACATTAGGCATGTTGTCTTATTTGAAATTTTGACACCAGTATTTCAAGTTTTGCTGCGAATGTACAGATCTGTGACAAAACCCAACATCAGGTGTCTTTGTATGTGTTTAATGGGTCACAATTTTTATGTATTTTTTTTATCAAACCTTGTAGTTCCCTAGAAATGTTTCATTGCTGGATGAAGTTGATCACTTAGAACAAGTTTGTATTGATCTGCCACCAGATGTCCAAGAGAGAATGGGGATGTTTTTCAAATCCAACTCATGAACTACCCTCATAATCAGTCTTTTTATTGATTTACTACTGTCTTTAGAACTGTTTCTATGTAGTTTAGTCTATTTCATGTACCACTGCTTCTTTAATCCCTGTCTTTTTGAGTCAGACATGATGTTGGGGTTATTGTTTTATTACATTTCTGTCCTTTGTCACCTGTTTGTATATCGATTCCAGATATTGTTTGTCAGTCTCCTTGGTTGCTAAACAAAATGAAAACAATCACTGCTGGTATTGAACCTGTTCTAAAAAAGTCTCAACTTTAAACAGGAATGAACCACAACAATACGGCATCCACTATTTTCTGGCATTAACCAGACCAAACAAGAACCAACGGAAAACCCATTCAGGCCGGGTCTCGTTCACTGGAAGAACTTTGTTTACGGCCGACTTGTGTGAATGGTAAAGTACAAACTGAGAACACAGCATCCGGAGCAGAATACTAATTCTGAGCAGGGCCTCCCTTTGCTCTCAAGCAGCCTCAGTTCTCGGTGTCATGGATTCATCACCGCGCTGGAAACATTCCTTTCAAGTTCGGACTTTCAGCGGAGGCCACTGCAGCAGCAGATTGGCCGTTATGTTCCCAAAATGTGCCAGAAAAAACATCCTGACACCATTACATTAACAGCATCAGCAGCCTGGACTGTTGAAACTAAAACAGGTTGGCTCATGGATTCAGGATTCTGACCCGTTATCTGAAGCCTCCCAAGAAATGTAGACTCAACAGAGCCGTTTCTGAAGACGTCCTACGAATATAAGGAGGCATCAACATCCATTGATATTCATGAGAAAAATTAGATCCGAGAAACATTTTCAGCTCCTACTTTGCTGAATTTTATTTTTTTTTTTTTGCTAATAATTAGGTTCAATTGTTCTCAAGTGTTTGTCTTGGTGTCTATCTTGTTTGGAGAAAAATGCTGGAATGGTACCAAAACAGCAAACTGGACGGAAGACGATGGAAGTCTTTTCTCATGACCGGTCCTGAGATGTTGGGATGTGATTTCCATCTTCTGGTTTGGGGACTGGCAACTATTTATTCTTTATTTTTGCTTTGACCATGTTGTGGCACCAGAGTTGAAATACTTTTGGCCCTTCTGAAGTCTTTTCCTGAGAACGTTTGAGCCACCTGGCCTCCAACTCCTTGGAGTTTGTTCCTTCAGCTTCCTCGGATGTTGCAAAATCCACAATCTGTTCACTAAACTGTGGTCGAGCCACAACACAACACAACACAAAACGAGAAGTGTTGGTGAACCTCACATTTCTGTTCCTGGCTCAGATTAGAAGAACCAGTCGTGATCTTCTGCTGTTGTAGTCCATCCACCTCAAAGTTGAGAACCTGAGTTTGAGTTAGTTTTCCATCAGCTCCAACCAGTCTGGCTGTTCTCCTGGATGGATTTTGGTTTCTGCACCATTCTGAGTGAACTCTAGAGACTGTTGTGGTAAAAATCCAAGAGATCAGCAGTTTGAGAAACACTCAAACCAGCCATCACGCCACAGTGAAAGTTACCGAGATCCCATTTCTTGATCTGTTCTGATGTTTAGTAGGAACATTAATCAGCGTTAAGAAACTGCAGGAGTTTTTATATTCCACTGCAGACATGTCATTGTTCGTCCATCTTAAGCTTCACACAAAAGCCCAACAACAATCCAATCATTTAGCTGTTCTTATGGCTGACGCATACGGGACCAGACCTTATTACAATGCCTCAACCAGATGCCCCACTCAAAGGGTCAAAAGTCGGCCATCAGAAACAAGATATAGTTGTATTAATATTTAGGGGAATAACGATGCATAGTTTGAGATTGTCTATACTGGAAACCACAATGAACTACATTCTTACACAACTAAACTGCATTCCCAAATACATCTTGAAGGCAACATATTCTTGCCTTGAAATAAGCAGAATTTGTGACCCGTGAAGTGGCGGTATAGTTGTCTACTTCCACCTTTCCGAGTCTTGCCAACAGTGAAGCCAAACAGGAAATTCTCTCCTCAAGGATTCATCCTCTGGGGAGACCAAATATCCACAGTACATTCTACTGAAATTCAAAAAGTTGGAAAGACGTCAGCTGGCAGGGCAAAAAATCTGATTAAAATGTTTCAGCATTTCAAGATTCTTTATACTCAAGGCGCCAAAAAACAACATCCACTGAAGGATTTAACTGTCGATTCGTGCAACAAAAGTTACTTGAAAACAGGGTTGAAAACGTCACTGGCAACACCCAACGTTTCACCAAGTCAACGATGAGCCAACAGACAAACACCTCGTCTTTGGTAAGTTATTGAAAAGAACTACAGAATCCTTCATTAAAGCTGCCAGTACTCTGTTGTTGGACTTAGATTTAACAACAGATTATCGAGCAGCCATGCAGATAAATGATAACACAACACAGGGCAACACCAGGTTACACAAGGAGCATGGTAGTTGTCTTTATTGATAGCTAGCACACGACTAAGACGCCCGAAAGCTAAATACGAGACATTAAGCAACATATGTGCAACTCTTTATCCTAAAGGTTGATTGTTAATTTCAATAATTGAGAGATTATTCGACTATCAAAACAGTTACGAGTGGCGCCCTGACTTTACACTGGAGAAAATAAATAAAATATATATGCAAACTATAAACGTCAGGACGCGTTAATGGGCACATGGCACAAGCAGCGCGCCAAGAAAACCAGCTGAAATGCTTTTTATGTAGAAATGGTGTTAAGACGACACTAAAACTACATTTTCTTTCTACACTATACGATGCCTGACTGTGAGAAATACGCTAGCACCAGAAATTCAAAATACATCGTCTGTAAAATAGGATTAAGACCAGAAACTGTCTGAACAAACCGTCAGCGAGTGAGATTGTGAATCTGACATTTGACACCAGCTTCCTGTACTCGACGGCGTCCTGTACTCTGTGTTCTCGACACATCTTTGTCAGCATCACAAAAACAGGTTCAGCATTCAGTCCTACATGCAAAAAGCATCTCTCAAAAACTTGCACTACGAAGCACATGAACCTCATATTTCTGTATTATATCACAACGTATAACCACTCACCTGTACTCTACTCGGCGCTGCGTCGCTGCTGTGTATTTATAGATTCACTGCAGATATTCAGAGCAAACGAGGAGGAAATGCTCGTTTTCTGGATGCATGTACTCTGTTTCTATCATTTTTGCATTACCGATGTAAAGCACAACACCAAGTACTGCGATTGTACACGCAGCGTTTTAAGGAGGATTTTCTAGCTGTAACCTTTCTCGTTATAAAAACTAAAACACATCAAATGAGTCTGCTAAGGTTGAGCGTGGCTGTTGTACCGTTACCTACTTCAACACCCTTCTATAGTGAGTTTTATTACAGCTGTTGGCTAATTACAACGTTCTCAATAATGCAGGGACTCATGCAGAGAATAAAACCAGACTGTAGCCAACTCACAAAACTAATTTTTTTTGGAAATCATCGAATATTCCTCGGAGTCCAGTTAAATTCAACGTTTGCCTAAAGCAGGACGTCGATAAGTGAAGGAGGCCACCAAGGCGCCTATGACTCTTCTGAAGAAATTAGTTTTCATGGTGACGTGGGAAGAATATTTTGCTGTAAATTCTTGTCAAAAAAGCCAAATTTAATTGACCATGATTCGAAACAAGTCACCGAATATTCCTTGGAGTCCAAATGAATCCATCATTCAGAAATAGAAAAAAACATGAAAGCTGTCCTCAAAAACTGAGACGAGACGAGTGAAGGAGGCCACCAATCACTGCTCTGATGAATTAGTTTTTATGACATTAAAGAATATATTCTTGTAATTTCTTGTCAAAAAAAGCCAAATTTTATTGACCGTTATGCAATGTTGAAAAGCAGTAAAAGGAGTAAACACTGTGTACAAACCACTCATCTACAGCGACACCTTAGATTATTTTCATTACTGCCTATTTTCATTATTATTCTGTTCAGCAAATTGTGAAAAATCTTCATCACAACAGCCCAGATGTGAAGGCGACGTCTTCAGATGGCTGCTTTTGGCCTCAAAATGGCAAAAACAAGAACAAGAAAAGCCACTAAGGGACACACGACAGATAAATGCTGCGAGTCATCACACCGTATTTGATATTTCACAACATTAAGGTCATTTTTAATTTCTGCTTTCCCTGACATTTTAAATTGTGAGATCCCCTGCGTGCGGCGAGACGCCGTGGCTGTTGTTGATGTTAAAATGGACGCTGTCGGAGGCTGTGCGGTGTGGAAGCTGCAGTCTCCGGGTGGATTTCAGGCCGTTATGTAACAGATAATGGATCCATCCTGAGCACATCGGCTAAGCTGAGCCGTGAGAGCGTCTGAGGGCCACGCTGTCTCCATTACAACACCTACAGCCATTTTAGACCAGACCGGCTCCTCGGCTCTCACCTGGAACATTTACATTCTGTTTCTCATCTCCGTGACACTCGCGCCAACAGCAACAATAAGATCTGGGCTGTTTTATGCAGCGTTGCTCGTTTACTGACGGGATTTTTGTGCTGTTTTGCTTTGAAAGATGGCAAAAAACATATAGTTGTAAAGCAGCAGTGACGAGGCGACGTCATGTTATAATGCTGGTTATGTCACACGCATACTGAACCTTTCATTTCATTCATTTTAAACACAAACTGACGCTAACGAATGGATGTTTTGGTGCTGAACTGGATTCTACGTGAATTTATGAACGTTACCAGCAAGCAGGAGCACTTGGTTCTCTGAAGGTTCCCTGAAGGTATTCTGGGTTTCTGTGCTGTGTTTACGAATGTACTAATTTCAACGTAAACTAACCATAAAGGAACCTTCAGGGAATGTTCCCTAAAGGTTCCCTGAACATTTACAGTTCTCTGTGCTGTATTTACAAATAAACTGCTAATTCCATACAACATTCCACATAAACTAACCCTAATGGAACCTTTAGGGAACGTTCCCTACAGGTTCCCTGTTTTCTGCCCACTATTTACAAATAAACTGTTAATTCCATATAAAATTCCACATATACCAACCATAATGGAACCACCAGGGAACGTTCCCTAAAGGTTCCTTGAAGGTTCCCTGATGGTTTCTTGTTTTCTGCACCGTATTTACAAATAATCTGCTAATTCCCAATAAAATGCAACCTAAAACCAACCATAAAGGAACCTGCAGGGAGCGTTCTCTCAACGTTCCCTCAATGTTCTGTTGGTTCCCAGCATCTTAAACCACCCGAATGAAAGCAGCACGTCGATAAAGCGGCATTAAATATGAATTAAAATGGCGGGCCGTCCACCCACCGCAGCTCCGTCCTTCATGATGATCTTCTTGACCAGAACCACCCGGCCCGGGGCGGCCGCCGGCGGCTCGCCTGCCATCTCCTCGCACCTGCCGCGCGTCACGAAGCATCCATGCCGCGTAGATATCCGCGGTTCTCCGGGTGCTTCCAGGATTCCTCCTTAAGTAGCCCCGAAGAGGCTAAAAACCGAGCTAACGGTTGATAAAACAGAAACCGCGACCGGTAAATATCCTCAACGTCTCCCGGTAAGATCCGCCGTCAGGTCCAGCAGCGGAGAGAGGAGACGGTCAAGCTGGCAGGAAGCAGGGGCGCACTTCCGGTGTGAGTTTTCAAAGTAAAACCATCTTTTACATTTTTATTTTTATTTTGTATTTTTATTGCGCTTCTCATACAAATGCAATGCAACACAGAGTGCTTTTACAAAAATAAAAATGCAAAACAATTAAATAAATAAATTCATCAAACTGAAGACCTGCCCTTTTAGTCAGGCTTTTGATTCATTTGTTAGATTTTTTTTTATTTTTATTTACTACTCTTCTTTTATTGAGCTTTCTGTTTATTTGCCTATTAACATATTTTTGTCTTTTTATTGTACTTTTTACTACTAAAAAATATAATTTCTTATTCTGGTTTTTTTTTTTTTTTTTTTTTTTTTTAACATTTTGACTTTATTTTTGTCTTTCTCCATTTGAATAAACTTAATGAAACACTGAAAGCCAAAAGAAAAAAATCAAACATTACTGGATCACTTCACTATAGTCTATTAACTCAAATGAGTTAATCTGTTATTTCTGATGGTAGCTTTAACAATTATTTTGAAAGTCACATTGTTCTACTTCCCCTCACATCAGCGGAACTTGACGCTCAGCTTGACTGCTGGTCCGGTTCAGTCCAGTAAAGGTTTTTAAAGACCTGGACCCGGTGTGAGCCAGACTGGGGCGGGTCAAAGCAGGTGCAGAACCCAGAACCAGACTGGGAGCGTTTTATTTCAACCATTGCGACAGGAATTACAAAAAATAACAGACTGGCAGGAAGAAAAATGAATCTGACAGCATCCTGATGGAGCAGCTCGACTGTCAAGTTACACGGAAACAACAACAGCATCCTGCCTTCACAATTAAAGTGGTTAATTCAAAACATATATTAAAACACTGGAGAATAAGATTTAATTTTACATTTACAATTAATAACCCGCGTAAATACATTATTTATTTTAATTAATGTGTTTTCAATCAGCCTTACAAATCACATTTACGAATTGAGAACCGTGTGCATTATTTTGAAACCGAAGCTGCATCTGACGGTGGCAGACGGCGGTGGACGGATGACAAATCACGTGTCAGTAGCTGTGGTTGGCGACTGTGTGCATGAATAAAACATGATTAAAAAAAAAAAAAGAGTGGTGACGGTGGGAAACGTGACAACTTACATCATCAATCAGGACAGAGTCAGACGACGTTTTATTTTGGATTCCTGTCAGATTTCAGCTTCCACTACCAAGATAATCAGAGTTATGAGGAGGATGTCATTCTTGCTTCCTCTGGGGGTCGCTCAGAGGAGGCGGGAGTCTGGATCTCGTCCATGTTCGACCTTTTCAGCGCCACAATTCACCCAGTAACAAGGATAATAACAAAGATGGGCAGACGAAGGCCGACATAAGGGAATGGGATGTGAGACGGTGTCAGCAGAGATGAAGGCAGCGTTTGTGTTTATCGACGCTACGCGAAGCCAGCTGGAAAACAAAATGCATCTCAGAGCTTCCACCACTTAAAAGCAATCGATTTTTCCATTTCCTTCAGCACATAAAAACACATCAGACATCTGAACCTCTGGGTGTGTTCCCACTGCCACAAGTGGCATTTTCAGGGAAGAAAAAACAATCTGAAGTAGATGCTTCGAAGTTCGATTAAACGCAGAGGGGACAATGTGCATCAAAAATTTGCATTACAGGACAACATAGCAAACCTCCATTGTTGTGTTTTCTACGTAGAACTAGGGTCAGTCATACAAAGCAGGTTCAACATATCAAGGGTTTCTTTACGTCATCTGGTTTCACTAAACTGAACTACCGCAGTCGAGATAAGTTGAGCTAGTTAGGTCAACCAGAGGTCAAATTATTGGGGCACAAGTAGATCTGATTATAAATACATATTCTGTCAGATGAACGTGTTGCTTAGATGTATTCTTCTTACATCTAGTTTCAGCTCAAACAGTCGAAACGCAATTTAAAAAAATGAACATAAAAGCACAGTTCAAAGTGTAAAAGGCTACAACGACATGTGTGCAGCTTTGGATATTTCTCACAAGTAGAACAAACTACAATCCTGAACCAACATGAGGAGTTTAAAACGGGAAAATGTCACGGTTTGGGTTCAAATGCGACTCTTCTGCTACCTGAAACGTCGCCTCCATTTTTTTTGGTTACCATGGTGACAAATCCTGCCTCATCTAACATATGATTGGCTGACTGAAAAGGAGCAAAGTAAATGGTAAAGACTGATAATCTAGCAGAAAAATACCCCAAACCAATTAAGAATGCAGTTTATCCATTAACTCAAATGTGCAGTTTTAAGGGGGTTGGGATAAGCAACATAAATGGTTGTTAATGTTGGAGGATTTGTACTTTAAATATTTGGTACTATACTATTTGTTATTTGCAGAGGACAGTTTTCAGGCACAGTGTTCACTGTAATGTCACGAGAGTCTGACAGATATTGGATTTTTGTGTCCAATATGAACATATCGACGGATATTTTTCATATATATGTGTATTAGAATTACTTTAAAGAGGGAAAATGATGAGTCATTGTGTATTAAATGTATTATTATGTGGGTAGTTTGCAATTTACTGTTAGGACTCTGCACCACCGCCTGCTCTGCTACATGTGCTGCACACTGACTGTTGTCAATAACAGAGTAAGAGTGCCCTCTGCTGGACAAATTACATAACGGCACCAATTCTAAATGACTAGAAACATCTTTTTTCTGCATTTTGTTCTGTAAAATATCAATTCACTTCATTGGAACCAAAACCCCTTCGACAGGCCGAGGCAGATGTTGGTGACGCATCGTGTGACAGTCTGTTGAAAGACTGTTGATGGATGCAGATGTTTGTTGTGATGTTTCTGCAGCTGTCCACAAACTCCTGGTCTAAGCTGACCACATGCTATCAGGAACATTTTTACATTAGTTGGCGAAAAGTTAAGAAAATGTTTTTGCTCTCAAGCAGAGAAAAGAATCAAATGCAATCCTACACAATCCAATGTCCACTCATGGTCTTCATTTCACCTGTGTGGATTCTCAGTCATCCACCTCATATTAATCCAAGGAGCTTCAGTAGAAAGCAACCGGACTTCTTGTTTAAGTTCTTTCACATCTGAAACTTCCCATCAGTCCGTTAGAATTGAAGACGCTTCTTGGATGAGAGCTGAAACGTCTTCGAGAACCTAAAGGAGAAGCCCAGTAGCTGTTTGCTGAATCTCCCAGGATTCACTTTACCTTTAGTTTGAACTCACATTTGCACATAAACTTGCTCAGAATCAGGAGATCCTTAGAAAACTCTGGGATGTTTAAGGAACCCTGCTTGCTTCTGGGATGAACCTTTACCAGGTAAGACCAGAGAACAGGTTGCAGGAAGAATCTCATTAAATGTAATTCAGCACAATCAGCTGGGTGAGGACTAACACGGCTTCAGTTTAGTTTGAAAATCATAATATTGGCACCATAGAAAGAATCTAATTAATACTTATAAAAACACACAGAGGGAATATTTTGGGTTTTAGTTTTCTGGGATTAAATTATGAACCTCTTTTGAACAACATTTAGAGACTGGTTTTGTCTATTTGTGCTACTTGTGATGAATCGATGCAGATGAGTCCCAACACTGACATCAATGTAAAGGAAATGATCTAATACTGAACAGTACATGTCATCTAGTCTTTTCTCTTGTGTTTGAGTGTTATAAAATGCACAACAGGAATGGTAGTCCCTCCGATTGGAACCAGAAACCCTACAAAATGGATCGTTCTGATGGGGTGGTCATGTTGGATGGTCACGGTGAGGAACCCAGAAAGGTTCCTCTACAGGCTCTTCTACATTTGAGGCTGAATCCTGCAGGTAAAGTATAAAGAATATAAACCCTAATGGTTAAAATCAATGATAAACAACAGAAAAGCACGAAAGCCTGTTGAGTTAAATGTCGTCACTGCTGTGAAACTGATGTAAAGAGAGAACAAACACACCATAAGATGCATGTGGACCACATGTGTCTATGTATTTATCTGTGATTTCTCTGAGTTTGTCGCCATCTGTCTGTCCTGACTTGTAACTGCACATCTGGGCCTCTGTTTTATTTGGCTTTCAGCAGTGCAGCTCAGTTTGTGAGGGATTTTAACCGACTGGGTTCTTCAGTCAAATTCAAATAAATCCACATTTAGCAGAAAGTGATACTGAAACACTTAATCACATAATAACTTCGGGGAGTGGCTCAATTCTGGTACCCACAGCAAGTAAATAGAGAAAAACTAGGATAAATTGTTAATAATGATGAATATTTGATGAATAAATATGTAGCTAGGTGGTTAATAATGAGCATAAACTGCACTTTGGTGGAGAATATTGAAACAAAAACACCTCAGTTCTGCTCTGAAATGAAGAATTTGATGCAGTTTATGTTCTTTATTATGATATTTGTGGATTGTTTAATGTCTGTGATGCTGATTCATGCTGATGCTTTCCTGTGTAATGATGATTATGTCATTTAATTCTCCTTCAAGCAGCAACAAAGCAACCAAACACTGTCCTCCGTCGTGTTAAACGCTGACCCGCTCTGCTGTGTTTGGAGGTGTTGCCGGGCGACGGCGTACCTGCACGGGGAAGCGTAGCTCACCTGTAAGCCGAGACTCAGAGATGACTCACCTACAGCGTCAATAAAACGACGGTACGACTAGAAAACCAAGACTTCACCTGACGGGTACAAACCTCGACAGGTAGGTGTCACGCCGTCGTTGGTGTTTTTGTAACTGGAACTGCAAACATCTCCAATGTGGCCACGGTGTCATTCAAATGAGTTTTATGGGA